TTCAAGCGTCAACTCCTGATTCCTCTAGCCCCTTATTATCTAAGCGAGTAACAATGCTGATTTTCCCCCTTCACCGAATACCCTTCAATATGAGGTTTATTAATTTGGACAAATGACAGCCCTACAACTCGTCCACACACCCAACTACCAAGCCATCCATGGAATAGGCGATCCGACCACCTTGATTGGATCCAAATGCAATTCCATGAATGCCTATGCACATCATCTGACACCTGGTCGAGTTGAGGTGGGTGTTTGAGAGGCGAAACCTCCACCAACTCTCTAAACACCACAAAGACTTTAAACAATTTCTTGTGTCAGGAAAAGAAGAAGAAGAAAAAGAAAAAAGGGGTTGTGGTTACTACTGAGGAGTCAAAATGGAGTTTTGGGTATCCGTCAGTAATTTGGATCTACTTTCCTTCTCCTCCTCCTTCTCTGTTGTGCATGAGAATGCCAGCACCAGTAGAGTAAGCAGCAACTACAAGATAAGACAAGAAAGTTGGATTTAAAAATTTTTTTCTCCACACTCTGTAGTACGTGGCAAGGAGGAGGGAGGTTTGGAACTCACCTGTGCCATTATTATTGCAACAGTGACAGATAAAACTGCTTCAGATCTGAGTATACCAATCAGTTCAATCTTGCTTTTACATCCCATCAAACCGACATTTTTAGCAATAAAATCGTGACAAACACCGGATGTCATGTTGCAGCATGCAGGTGGCAAAGCCTTGCCCAAGTCTTCTGCAAGGGGTGGAAGAGGTTTGATGGCGCATACCTTAACACACTGGAGCCACGTGTGCCCTTTCAACTTACCAAAGTCCTTATAGCCCTCCATCCCACAGCATTGAGGGTAGGTCTGTAACAAAATGTCATGCGTCCACTAACCACTTACACAAAGGCATTTTAATCAAGCAATTCACATTTAATGGCTTCAATGCATACCTCCATGAGCACATTCCATACACCCGTTGCTTTTTCCCCCTTCTCACCTTTATCCCCATAAAACTTGAGAAGCTCTTCTGTTGAGTTGTACATCCTCTTGGAGAACGTAATCGGCGACGGGAAAGCCACGTTAGCAATGACGATTTGGGCAATTAGAAAAACAACCAGAATGCCAGAGTACTGATGAGGAGAAAGAAAAACGTATCGGAAGGATTTTAAGTGCGGGGCTACTCATGTGACTCGCTATAAACCGACTCACTATATTTAGCATTTTCCTCCAATTGTACCACGATCCTATTAATCCGACAAGACAGAGAAGAGCAAGGATAAATCCTGTTGCAATGCCATATATGGACATCCTATCTAAAGGCAAATCCACCGTGTCATTTACATCCCATTGGAAAGTGATTAGAAGGGATTTGTGTAGAATGGCATGAGCTATTTCGCCACATACCCGCAAGCTCTAGCACGAATATTGCAAACTGGCGCAGGTTCTCTTCATCACCTACATATCCATCAAAGTCATTTGACAATGCCGTTTCTAGCCAGCCCTTTGATACTCTCAGTACAACACCTGTAATGGCTGTTGAGAAGTATGCCAGCTAAATTTAAGAAAACAAAAATAGCTTCGATTGCAAACGGTATTATAGACGCACCCACTTTGGTATCACGTCACTTACAGTAAGGATGAGAGCTAGGATTTGCAAAGCAATTCTGAAACCGCGTTTCACGTTCTTGCTCATGCTGGAGAGGAAATACAATATTTCACACAAAAGCGGTGAGAAATAAACAAGTCATTCGCATTATCTTCATTACAATAAAAGAGACAAAGAACGCACATCAACAAATGATCCTGATTTGCTTGTGAGATGGGTTTCGGCAGCACAGTGAAGCCGTATATAGGATAAGCACAAACTCACTTCTAGCCAATAGCATTCGCATGCTCACCTTATTGGCGACTGTGTGTCCAATGGAAGTCGAGAAGAACATATCAACCAATCATCTCATTAGTAGGGATGAGAGCACAATGATGTGGGTTGATGTGTTAGGACTTGACTTGACCACGTCTTGTCACGCTGCACAATTTTCAGGCTTAGTTTTCGGTGGGACTCCCTTGTTCTAATGCTCTTTATTGTAGGGATGGTGGTTTGTAATTTCTCTCATCGTAGTCGGGCTGACTTTGCAACTCATCATTTGAACGCCAAAATCCCAACACAATGCCTAGTGCTAATTATCCCCTCTCTAATGGAATAGACATTATATTTCGATGATGCTGCGAAAAAAAAAATGCGACAAAGATACCATATTGGACACGCAAATTACGATGTACGAATTGGTTCTCAAGTCACTGAGGTCCTAGTAAATGGATGAGAAATTCATGGAGTGACCGTCAAGGCAACAATGCAATTACTTCTTTTTTTGCTCGGTCGACATCTCAAAAAGTAATCAAGTTACTACTCGTTGTTTGTGCAATGGAGAATCCAGCAAGTTTATCCTATATCTGCAGATTATTTCACCAGGTCAGATCATATAAGAATAGGACTCCTTCTTTGTATTGGTGTCAATGAAAGCAACAGGAGGGCGATGCTGATGTCTCCCTTCTCGTACATTCAAATGGTTCAAGCGAATTCAGTTGGCCTTCATTGCAGTGCGCATAATTGACATTAGCAAGAATGTCATTTAGCTATCAAT